GACCGCAGCACCCAAAGGTAGGAGTTTTGGTGCTGTGCTGCTCAACACGGTCTGTGCTGTCTGTAACACAGGTTCACAATCATCATTTTTATGAGGAAGCAGAACTAGTGTCTCTAAAATTAGAATGATTTATTAGTAAATTAATCACTAGTAGATTACTCGGCCACGAGCCTTTTCTGTGACAAATACAGTGTACTGACTTTTCTTGACAAACAATGCGTGAGCTTTCTATCTGACCTTCTCTGTTGGGAATGTATTTAATAGCTCCACCCCCTCACCCCCCCTTTTTTTGTTCATCAGTTCTACTGGATACTGCTTATTTTGTTTGATCTCAGCTTTTTACAAGACAGTAAAATTCTGGTAGTAATTCTAGTTAAGTAGTGTTTTCTGGGGTTTTTTTAAACCAATTCTTTGGTATCCCAGTTCTCAAGAGTCCTCACAACACAGCACCCCAAGCGGTATAATCAGAGGAGTCTGTACAGGATGTGCCAGTGTTGATAGTTGAGGTTAACAGTAAATTTACTAAACAGTAAAGGTGAATTAATGCTGTGTAATCAGTACAGAAGGTGACTGAGGACTTGTAGTACTTCAGAAGTCTAGAAGTCATCGATCTAACGCAGTTTGTCCCCGTCTTGAACTGACAGCTTGAATTGCTAGGGTGAATGGTAACTCTGGAAGAAGTATAAAAGATTTAAAACTGAGAGAAGAAAATACAATATATTTTCCTGCTGTTGTGAAGAAGGACGAGTTGTAAACTAAATTTGAACTTTAACGTGTAGACATACTAAAGTAATTGCACTAGGTCTTTCTCAGTTTGCGGAACTCTGGAGTTCTATTAAAAAAAGAAAGAGAAAACAAAGTTAATTCATATTCTCTCACCTCTAGGAAAAGGTAGAGGGGCAAAGAAAAGGAAAGCATCCAGTTCAGAAAATGAAGGTGAATACAACCCTGGGAAGAAAACGCCTAAATCCACACCAAGCAAGGTCAGTTCCAGCTATGCTCTTTTCTCCTTGTAAAAAGAGCCTAACAACGGATGACTTTACATAAAAGGTGCATGTTCTTACTATAGGTTGCTAATCTGATAATGGGGGTTATGATAAAGGTGCGTGTAGATGTTAGAGAAGGTTTCCTTCAATTCTGAATGTGAAAAGGGAAAACGTACACAGCATCGCAACAACTGCTTTGTCTTTTCTTTCCTAAAGAAATCCAAGAAGGCCGCTTTTGACCAGGATTCTGATGTGGAAATCTTTCAGTCGGGCTTTGCCTCCGAAACTGCCCCAAAGCCACGGACAGGCCGGGCTAGAAAAGAAGTTAAATATTTTGCAGAGTCTGATGAAGATGATGATTTTGATATGTTTAATTAAGTGCCCAAAGAGCACACAAATGTTTTCCAACAAATATCTTGTGTTGTCCTTTTGTCCCTTCTGTCGCAAACTTTTGTACATTTGACTTCTTTTATGTGATAATGTAATTGATGGTTTTTATTATTGTGTGTAGGCATTTTAACATTTTGTTCTTACACCTACAGTTTTATGCTCTTTTTTACTCATTGAAATGTCATGTATTTGTCTGACTGGCTTGTAGAGATGTTCTAGACAGCTGTGCTAAAGCACATTTTAATTGTCATGGTTGCAAACAGCAAACCTGCTTTTTGAAATGAAGTTTAAACATTAAAAAATGGAAAACTACCGTGTGTGTGTAAAATTTGGACTAGAGGGACTACTTCTACGCAGTTGGGTTTTTTTAAAATAAATATATTTTATTCTTTGCCAGGAGACTCCATGGAAAAAGGTAAACAGTATATGAACATAGAAAGCATTGTTAAACAATCTCAATGTACAAACAGAGCCAGTGAAAGTACATCACAGACTTACTAGAATATATAAAAAAAAAATCCACTAGTGCTTTAAATGAAACCTAAGAAACTGACACTTTAAATCTGTTAACCATTCTACCACAGTTTTCATTCTGCTTCATGGTGATTTAACAAGGCCAAGAAGGCAGATTCTCTCCTCATGTTTCTGGAAGTCCTAGCTGTACTTCCCTAGCACCTGGAAGGCCGGATAACCCAGCTAATTTCTGGCAGTCGATTCTTAAGGAAATACCCCAGACTCACCGATTCAAAAGCTGTAGATGAGTCTGCTGGTTATCGTCCCATGCAGCTTCCCTAATGGCTTGTGAACAAGTAAACAAAACCACGGTAACACTGAAGAGTGTTTCTGCCTTGGAGGCTATCAATCATTACTGTAGACACGTAGTAGTTAATTGTGGAGCTAGGTCACCAGCCAGGTAAGAAACCACTTCTTTAAATTTTAAAGTGACATTAACAGTGGAACAAATGACATCTGAATAACTGATCTGGCAGTTAATGCTGACACCGATGTCCTTTCTGCTAGTGCAGTGAATTTTTGTATACTTTTTACAAGGAAGGAGATGCAAACTGAGGGCATCAAAGACAAGTTTTCATATCAAACTAAATCAGATGGTCCTTTAAACTTCCTTCTCTGGATGTGTACAGTAGTCCATTTCATACGGTTGGTGTCTTGATCGGTTTAGGTATGAGAGACAAAAGGAAAGCACCAAACATCCAGTATAGAAAGTACAGCCATACATTTGTATGTACAAAGTCATCAGAAATGCAACCAGAATGTAAAGTTTGAGATCTGTCTTGTCACCACGCGATCTTGAATGTTCAGAGGAGAAAACAGAAGCTTAACTATTTTTTTGCATGAAATGGCTGATTCAGAGTTTCGAAAGTTTGCATTTTTCTAGTTTTAAGAGTTTAAACAGCAAGGAGTATATATCGATACATATGAAAATTTCTTGGTCCTTGTTGAGTTTTTATCTATATATATATACACATATATAGATATATATTAAGTCCAGAAACTAAGCAGCAGTAAAAATGTTTTTCTTGCTTTTCATCCCTGTACGTAAGGTATTAGGAATGTCTGAAGTAGCTGGAAAGTGTCTTATTGCACCATAGGGGATTGACTGACACTGCTGTTATCCACTGAACTGGGTGAGATACTAGGACTGTGTTCTGCAGTATTTCCATTTGAGGTTGGGGTCAGTGGTTCGTGTCCTTCAGAGTTCTCCAACATTTCCTGAATAAGAGGTGGCATGGATCCAGGAATTTCCATTTTCAATGTAATGACACGTTCTGCACCTTTAAAAAGAAAGCAAAAAGTCCTCTCCGTTAGCGTGATCCGTACAATTTCCTTTTTGTTAGCATCATCAGTAGTAATTTCAGGGCACGTTATTTTAATGGATTTGGTGTCTCCTTCTATACTTCTTGCACACAGAATTACGTAAGTAAGTGAGCCACTTCAGTCATTACAAGAAAAGGCATTAGATGAGCACTCCTTAGCAAATCGATTTAAAATTATGACGCAGCAACTGATATTACACTACAGGTAAATTGGACGAACTGCTGCATTTCACAGAAGGAACCAAAATGGCATTAAATGATACTGAAAAAATAAATGCAACTGTGATCACACAGATGTCTGCCGTTATAAATTGGAATATACGGTTTTTAATCTGTACTGGATCTGCAAAGGCTATAGAATGACAAAAAATTCTGGCTGATTTGTGTTAAACGGGTGAGGCAAATCCTGTACGAGAACTGCAGCGATGCAAGTCAGAACATTTCTTTCCCATATGGAAAACTGAAATGAGAATCGCAATTTAACAAACTGTTGTTTTATAAAAGAACAAATTCAGGCAAATGGATACTTTTTTGGTGAAGCTGCCTTCTGTAGTTTTCAGGCATTTTCTCTAGTGCTAATTAACCACACAAGTACACAGAAACACTAATACTGTTTACATCTGACTTAAATAAGCTAACTGTGCTTTGCCTCGTCAAGCGTAACTGGCTATTTTTATACAGAGATGGCTTTGCAGGCTAGCGCCTGTAGGATTAAACAAAATTACCGCGTAACTCCTGATGACTCAGACTGTGAGCCAACAACTAATACTAGTTTAGTTTAGGGGGAAAAAAAAAACCCCAACCCACAAAGCCACACAATCGTGCCTGATGCTCCTAAGCTGTGTTAAGGCTGCTGGAACGTGGCAGGCGTACCCCAGGGCAGGCGTACCCCAGGGCAGGCGTACGGGGAAGACGGTATGAACAGGCGGACACCTCACGGCTCACTCGTAACTTGCACACGACATCAGCTCGGCGCGCCCAGGAAGCACCGCGCTTAGCACGCAGCGGTACAGCACAAGTGGAAGCCCCCGTCTAGAAAATGGCCAAGCCCCTGCCTGCCACTGGGCAGATAGCTCCGAGGGAACTGCTTAGGGATTAGTAAGTTAGTTACTACAACCGCAGGAATCCTTAGATGCTGGACGGACAAAACTTCTCCGTGAAAAGACAGGCTCTTACCGGGAAGAGCCTGATCTGTAAAGCTGGACAGTTCAGCTGCTGCTGTTCACAGCGATAGGCAAGCAGTGTTCAGAAAGCCCTAAACCAGGCAGCAGTAACACTAAAACAGCTTAAGCAAAGTACAAGGTTCTCTTGTAAACGGGTGATACAGCGGAAGGACTGAAAGCAAGGTAGTGAATAAACATTCAGCTACTGAGTGGTGAGGACCATAAAGAGACAGGAATATTTTGGAATTACACCTCAAATAAAGTGAGGCTATATAGTAGAGATTCTGTTCCACGCTGAGGCGTGAATGTGCTTTACATATTTTGCTGCTGATGGGCAAAAGATTTTTTCTTATCAGGACAACGTCAGACAATTATTTATAGCCATAAGCCTCCGAGTTCAAGTATCTGGTCTAACATGTTGCATAGGATTCCTGATCATCTTAAAATTTGAGTCTAACGGAATAGGAATCTGTGCTTTTTAAAAGTGAAGGAAGGCAAGGAGAGCCAGCAAAATTATTAAAGAGAAAGTCTGGTTCTTGAAGAAACATTCCAGAGGAGAGAACCTTTGGCTATCTTCTGCTTATCCGTGCTGCTGCAATGTCCGTGCTGGAGAGAGCACGCTGTCCGTCACAGCAGTAACTCCAGAGCGGAAGGGAGCGCTTAAGTTCATGCCTTAGCTGAGGAGCTTCAAAAATCATCTACAAAAGGCAAATGACCAACTTTCCAAGTGAATGCTGATTAAAAAGTCTCTTAAATGTTAGGAACAAAGGGGCAAGCACTATAATTGGAAAGAAATTAATGCAGAATTATGCTGAGAGCTTCTCTACAAACCACCTGTAGTCAGAGCAGTGTTGGTGAACTGAATTTGGCCACCTTAAATACCTGCTTTCTGCTGTTACGGAGTAGGTCAGTTGCCGTACCAAGTATTTGTGTGGTTATTCCATTCCAGAGCCACGGTACTTTTTCAGGTCTTGCAAACTTCCAATTTAATACTGGGGTAAGAGAACTCAGAGGACGGTCTCTTGCTGCAGTCCCGCGAACGCTTACTGCTTTTGTTACACTGCTTCTGATGCCACAGAAGAACGCAGCCGCATAAGGAACTCGAGCGTAAGGAGACACTCTCAGTCGTTTCAGTTCATGCTTACTTTGGTAACTGCTTTCAGGGACCGTGTACCATCAAGAGCCGTTATCTTCTAATGTACACCTTTTCAAATGAAACTCACGACACACCCACCCTGCCAGGACATCGCCAGTCCTTTGGTACGATTTAGTTTTACTATAAAACATTAATGATATAATTGAAGTTAAATACTTATGTCAGAATGGAAAGGAGAATCCTGTCTTGTGCGTTGAACGTAAAGGGACAGAGCCGTGTTCTTGAGGAGCTGGAGGGCTCCGGCAAAGAAGCAGGAAAGCGGAAATAGATTTCCCACAAGCAAGAACAGTAGAACGAAAGGGCTCCCCTAAATATTTTTTATAGCTCAGTACTGCTGTAAGTTTATGTTGTAGATTCAGTTGGATGGAGCCTGCTTTACTTGAGGGTAAACTGCAAGCTTTCGATAACCTGGTGAGTGGTTCCTTTTTAGGACGCTTTTGCTTCCAGCTCCGGTGTTTCCCTTCTAGGTTATTCTTTTGGTGCTAATCAATCCAATTAAATCGCTCCCTTCTTTTTATAAACATAGCTATAGCTTAATCTTTTAACTTACGTATTGTTTAAAGTCTAACAGTTCGGGTTTTAATGTAAAACAAGTGTATTTATTTGAGTGATTTAACTGCTGTTTTTTTTCCCCGAAGTCTTCTCAAAAACCATGTCAAATGAAATCAGTAATTTTCTCAAAAGCACAAACCCAATCTATAGCTACATAGGTACCTGTACGTACAAGCTCACGTGCTTGCTTATCTATCGGGGTAGCAAATCTGTAGTTGAATAAGCATAGTAAGAAAGAGGAACTGCACCAACCACTGTAAAAAATAAGAATTGTGGCACTTTGTATTCAGGCTGGTACATCTCCGATACAGCTCGTCAGAAGCCTGGAGGTGAACGTATGTGAAACAGCTGGACACGTCTGAAATTGCGTCTTGGGGAGATACGGGGGTACACAAACGAGAGGAACGGAGTCACCTGCGAAGCCACAGCACGGGGCAGAACAGGCGTGCACAGAGGCCGCTAACGAGCTGGCACTCGGCTGACGGTCCACTGCTTCTTTCAGAACCGCTGCCCGGCCTCCCCTCTCAGGCTGTACACATCAAGGGACAAAGCACTAAGCGGGGAACCTCTCTGACGAAATGGAAGCGTTCAACTATACCCGTGCTTTAGAGAATTTATGTGATAGCGCTTAGGCTGTGTGTGTTTCACATTCATCAGTCAACCCCATACAAGGCTACACAAAATGTTAAACCAAAATTGATCCACGTGTAGTGGATTAGAGGTGCTGAATCTCCAAAATCCTGGATCGAACCAGTTCTAAACCTTCAGTACGTCAGACCACAGATTAGGGGAATTTTGGATGCACAAGTGTTTTCTGCTGTCTGTAAACGGACTTTGGTTTTTTGAACGCCATTAGTGATACCAAGTACTCGCTGACCTGCACCCCCTTGTAAACATTCACACAGGTTTAATTCAGGGTTTTATCTTCTCTTAAAATGACTGACAAAGAGTTCACGCTAATGATTTGCCAACCTAGTTATACCTAAGATGACATTTTCACTGTAAGTCGCATGAAGACTGTAGCACCATGTATGTTTAAAGCAGAATCAATTTAAACACGGGAGTTACAGGAAGGGGAAGGGAAGAGAAAGGTCACAAGGACCTTTCTTAGATATATTAAAAAAATAACAACCCAGGTCTCTAGGCCAATTTCCTCTGAAACGTAACACTGACACTATTGCTGAATTATCGGGAGACACGGTACCTTTTGCACTGATGCTACGAAGATCTGTGATTTTCATTAAGATCTTTGGGAACATATGAGGCTTGTTGGGTCGTCTCTTTCGGATATAAATTTTCAGTGCTTCAAGCAATGGTTCCTGAAGCTTATCCACTTTCATTGGTTCTTCAAGGTCCTGGCGATCTGTAGAAAAGTATCATATCACTTGTATGATTTTAAATATATATATAATTTTTTTTTTTACAAACTCCAAATCACAGAAACTCCTCCATGTTCTTGATTAGAACTCCATGAATTTCATCTTTCTCTCCACTTATGACCCACACTCTGTGGTGAGTATTCCATAGGAAGAGGATAAACCATGGCTTTCTGAAACTTAGATTCATTTTTCCTTGGTGACTGGAAAGGTTTGTCATTTGAGTGGTCCAGAATTACCTCCCTCTCCAAGGGGAAAACACCTCGCTGCAAAGAATATTTCAGAATTAATTTTGTATGCGTCACTGATAAACTACCTAGGTATACAAAGAGATTACAGCTAAACTCGTTTTTGTATCAATACTAAAATAAGTGAGTTACCATCAGGTATCAGCAGATGGCAGTGCTAGCTTGAGTGACAACAAACGTCACCCATAAACCAGGATGCACCATCACATGTTAACGACATCTCGGAACCCGTCAATGCTTTTGATGGGTTACAGTTAGACACACATGAAATCGGAATGATTTTGTACTAAAGGGCCGCTGCCGACAAAGACCGACTCTTGTTTTTTAAACATGCTCTGGTAGCACCCAGTTTGTATTTCAACAAAATGGCCCAACTAAACAACGTGTGTTTCTATTGCTAGTCCAGATTTTGCAAAGGAGGAGAGAGACTAGGTGATTAAAATAACAGACATTTACAGAGGATTTTGGAAATGATCTGAGACTTGGCTTTTTGTATTTTAAAACCATGATTTTACCTGATTTTGCCTGACAATGTCCCTTTCAAGTTGTAACCAGCCCCCCCCTTATGTCATCAGTGCCACTATGCCGATTTCAAAGTACAATCTATTTTTTTTCCTAAAGAAAGTTATCACCAATGACTTCCGTGTGAATGTAACTATATGCACATGCACGCAGTTATATTTATGAGCAAAAGCTGCGTAACGGGCATCTTGCCGTAGCAAAGGTCACTCATACAGGTACCCATGTACCGCTTATAAAAAAATGCAGCAGGATATATGCTGTAGTCCTTTATCAGGCAAATAATAGGATCGGTTGCTTGGCAGAATGATTCAATTCATTTAAAAACGTATCAATAATAAAACCAATAACTATCACCAGTGGAAAACAAACCTTCAGTGTTGAGCGGTTTATAACACATATATACATTTTATATATATGTTTTAGTACAGGAAAGCAAAACAAGTAAAACATAAATGACTATCTTATCGTGTCTGTCCTTTTCAAACGCATCCGAGTTCATGCTGTACGATACCTCCACAGATTAAGCAGATGGCACTAAGGAGACCTGTTTCTGTATCATCCATTTCCAAAGGCAGGAGCTGGTTGGCAAACGTGAACACGAGATCAGTCAATGGGCCAAATCCGGCGTTGTGCATCTGAGTTCGGTTTAGGGTAAGGCCATCTGAAAAGGTCATGGTGTCTTGTTCTGGTGTGTATCTTGTGCAAATTCTAAGGATCTGTGGAAGGACCAAAAAAAAAAAATTTGAAATTTTTAGAATTCAATCCATGGCAGGTTTGTTGCGTTTTCTCGATGCGGCAAACGACCCACAGAACCGCAGTACACGGTCACGTCAGAACAATCCAAAATCGAAGTCCAGTTTGTTCAGTTCTAGTAGCACAAAAATTCTCTGGTACAACATAAATATACGTGGTTGACTATGGGTATTTTAATAACAGAAATTTAAGAACAGAAATTTCCCCCCTAGTTATGAAATAATCAAAACTTCTATGCAATTCTCACCACTTAGGTCACCAACATTACCATAATATCCATGTAAGCCGCTCTTTAATTAGTATGCTATACGCACCTAACTATAAAACGCTATTGCACTGCTGATCTGATCCAGCAAGATCATGAAAATATCTCACCTCTTCGAATATACACACATTTCATTGATTTTGGGGATCGATTTTGCATGACACTGCTTCTCTGGGTTGTGTCTTTGGTAAGGACAAGTGTCTCTGCGGTATCTTATGTGAGCGTGGACAGCTGTGAGTTGGTGAAAGAGGCAGAACGTAACTTCCCTTCTTCTGTGATAGCAGATAGGAAAACACCCCGATGTGAACACAACCCCTGCGTGAGTGATCCCTAGAGAGCAGTGCAAAGCCCTCCATCTCCCGAGCAGCTGCAGTTACAGTCTCCACGGAGCGCTGCTTGTCTTGCCAGCCTGGGAGCTCGCACCTGAGCGGATGATCAAACTTGGAACCTCCACACAGCAGCGCGCGGGGCTGCTGGCAGCCAGGCCAGCAGCCTGAGGAGTTGGCCCAGCTTTTCTTCTTTTACGGTTGTTGTTACGTCCGTGTGCCGTAACACCGAACCTCCTTGCCAGCCGGTTGGCCTCTAGACTTCCCTGAGGCTCTGGCGCTTCCCCCATCCCGAGCCCTGGTTAGTGCTGGTAAGGGGCGCGTACCCCGCCTGCCTGGTGCAAAGCGTTATCTTCCCACTGCTGACGGCGTCACGCACTCCTGCGCAAGCCCAGGCAGTGTTGGTTTTGGCAAGTTAGCTTGTGTGACGACAGCCACCCCGCACTGACCCCAGAGGAAAGAGCATTCAAGGGGAGGATGGGGATTCACAGCTCTAACTGGACACGGAGGAACGCAAAACGCATGAATAAAACACTGAGGATGCTCTGCATTTTGTTAGTAAATGCCTCTGGGGTAACCGCAGCGTCAAGAGCGCTGTCGCAGTGGAGGTGCAGTGGCAGCACGGCCGGAGAGAGCGAGTGCGTGAACGCTTTCGCCTCTCAGAGCAAACCCAGGACGCGTCCCTTGATAGACTCCGTACGGCACGGGCTCATTTGTACAGCTGCTATTAATGAACACTGCCGTAAGGAGCAAATAAAAGAGATGTCCATCATGTTGACATATTTCTGTTATATATATCAATGCGTAAAGTTGAAAATAATCAGGGATGGGAGAAGGCTTATTCCTAAACTAAACTAAAATAAAATAAAAGCTTGCAGAAGTCTAGCTGATCAGCTGAGCTAAAACTACAGCCGTATTTTTTCAGGGTTTGACTGTATTTATTTCCCATACAGCCATCCTACTTTGTTTTAAAGATTCAACAAAAAAGATTTACACGAACATAAGTGAGCACAGGGTGAATTTTAATTATTCCTATAGCTGCCGAAGCTCTGAGTCAGAGGCCCCAGCACTTGGCAGCTGACCAGTCTGGGCTTGGTTCTCCCACTTTCATCTTTCCCTGGCAACACTGCTCCAAATAAGCAGGGAGGAGAATGAGGAGGACATGGCATGTAAGAGACCTACAGGGAAGCTTTTATTTCTCGTCTTAAATCCCTTGGTAAGAGACTTAATAGGGTGTATTTCTGCAGAAGGCTCTTCAACTATTTTCTATCTCAGCAATAACCTTATCTCACATTGTGGTATACACTGAAGCACCAAGACTCTATGTGGTTGGACAGGCATGTTTCACATTGTTCCCCTACCCCTGAATTAGAATAAGCTCTTGAAATTACTTGACTCAATGACGAAGAGAGGCACAAACACAAATGCATACCACTCAAATTCTTCACTGACCACAAATTCCCCACTAATATAAGTGATCTTAAAAGGCTGCTGGTAACGCCAAAGGTTTTGTAATAGCCAAAGTGTATTTCAGGATTATTAGCAGAAATTAACATTATAAAGCATGGCACCCTGTCAGTAAGAGACAGCATGTTTACCATATTCTACGCTGCCAGTAACCACAGGCAGTTCTCTCTCCTGAAGTTCACCGTTGGTTATCCTTTTAAATCATTAAAAGGATTGTATAGAAAGGAGAAGAAACATGCAGAATTTCTTGTTTTCAAGAACAGCAAGGTTTGAAAACTTTGAATATTTATTGAGAAACCCAAGAGCTACTTGGTTTACTTCTCTAATGGCATGCAAGAGAAACTGGAGTGCAGCTCTTCCCATCTGAAGCCTGCACATACAGTAGCTGCCTTCCAGTAAGGGCGCGTGGCCCGCGATGATCAGGTATCCAACTTTTGGAGGAACAAGGCTCTGTACTTCTTAAGTGGTACTGATTTTCCCTTAGCTCAACTGGGGAGAAAGGCAGCCCTTTTTATTCCAGTGCTATTTTAATTGCTAAGCCTTAGCAATGAAGAGTTCCTCCCTCCACACGCTCAGGACTCCCAGCCCAACAAACTGGCGGAGCAGGACTTGAAGCTAAATTGGGCAATGCTACCTGCAGCCTCCCCAGCAGCTGCCCAACCAGGGGCGGCAGATACAGTTCCTCCGTATCCTCCCTCCGAGGGCAAGTCTGGATACCGGCTGCCAGCGCCGCAACCGCCCAGGGACTCCTGGCCCAGAGGGACTGGGGTGCCCCGGAATGGTTATCCCAAACCCGGAGGCTGAACGCGTGCCTCCTGCCATACAACAGGCTGCTGGCTCCCTCCCTGCCAAGCTCTCCGTGCTCACCCCATAGTGCTGTAAGCCCGACCCTGTTTGGGGGTGCATGCTGGGGGTGCTCAGCAAAGACCTACCAGACCACCGCCCCCCAGGGCTAACGCAGAGGAAGACTTCCAGGCTGAATCCTCATCGGGAATGAATTTGGGCTTAGGTTACTCAGCCTAGAGCCCCCGTGGGCGTACACAGAAAGAGATCTCCAGGGGCCTTGGAAAATTTATAATTAAAACATAAAGGTCCCGTGGAATTTAGCTACTTCCAGGCTTAGGCAGCAAGTAGGACAGCTTTTTGCAAAAGGCAGCCTTCAGGCTTTCATACCTAAGTGCTGCGCCAGCTGTTAACTGGAGGAGGCTGCAGTGGCTCTGCTGGCGCACTGGCACAGCTGAAGCTCAACTATGTGTTTTCTGCAATGCACTTAGCTTGACTGCAGCAATCGGGTCTCAGGTTTCTCCTGCATTCCTTCGACATTATCCCACAACACGCTGTTATTAAACGCCGAGACAGATCATTTGAATTTTTTTTTTATTATTTTTTTTTTAAATTTGTGTCCTTCATCAAGATCTGCGAAACACCATGGATATTGCTAAACCTTTCTTGGGCAAACTTCCAGTGTCAAAGTGAAGCTGATTTCAAGCTCATATTCACTGAAGAACATATGGGAAATGTCAGCGCTTCAAAATAAGAAACGACGGTATCCTTCTCTGTTTTAAACTGAACCACTGTCTAGAAGACATCCTCCTAATGTCCTCAGTGTTGTTTAGATTTTGTAACCAAGCCAAGTATTTTAGCTGTCACTCTGCTCTTAAATGCCACTTGCAGCCACAAGTAAGGTTCTTGCCCATGACTAAAGGGCCCTATGTTTTAAGGAATATTTATATCTTAAAGTGTCTGGGGTTCCTATGAGCCAGTTACAAATCGCAAAGCAAAAACCCTACGGGTTGCACAAAACCCAAACCATCCAGAAAGTCGCATTTACAACATTTTTGCTACCATAGAATTGCTACTCATTTTAAACAGATTTGTTAAGGCAAGCTGGGCTTTTTTTAACAAATGCTGTTGTTACATGCTAGCTGCCTTAGCCGGCTGGGACGGTTTCCTGAGAAGAGCAACCCAAGGAGGTGACTCTGAAACGATGAACAAGCCTCCACGGTGCTACCACACCCCATCAGCACGGGTTATTCCACACACACCAAAGCCTTCCCAGCACTAACACGCAGGGTTTTACAACAGAGAGCAAAAATGATATTATTAAGGATTAGCATTCAAGGACTTCTCAGGTTTTTCTCCATCAGATTTAAGACAGGCTGGACTCCGGGCTCTTTCCACATTCATTTTGCCAGAGCTTGGCGAGGCTGGCGGTGCTCAAACGCTGCCGGGCCAGTGTACCAGCAGACAGAAGCACTCGCTTTTACAAGGGTTACTGACTGAAATTTAGTAGTATTTATCCCTGAAACTTTTGGCACCAGAGCAGATATAAATTCCACCATCCTCTATCGGCACTTTCAGCTGCCTTGCGAGGCCTGATGTTATTTCCCTTCCAAAGATTTTGTTTGTTTGTATATAAAACAATACTCTGGCCCATACCCAGTGGAGTTTACTGAGCTCCTGGCATCATTTCCTTCGTCAGCCTGTCGGGGGCTTTAAGCATCCAGGGCCGCAGAAACCAACTGAGCAGAGCCCTTGGCAGGGTCTACAAATGCTTAAGACGGCAATCCAGAGGCAGCACTGCTGGGTGGGTAGCGAACCAGGGTCCTGCTGGTGGGCAGAGCCCGGCCACCCTCCCTGGCTGGGCTGGGAGCCCCACGCCGTTCCTCCTGCGTGCCGCGGCTCTGGGGACACGTCCAGGGAATTTCACAGCAGCGGGATGGTGAGTGCACACCGGCGAGGCTCACGCCCACGCTGAGCAGTGCTCGCACAGCAGACCACGGGCAGGCACCGGCAGCGGGTGCTCACGCAGCAGGAGGGGGAACGGCGCTCACTCCGCGTCTCAATGCAGAAAATAAAACGCTCAAAACACGCCTCATAATTAGGAGAACTAGCTTGCTGGGAGGGGAAATGTGCGCTATTAAAACACTGCTCCAAGTACTGAAATTTAGCTTAAATAGAGAGCTGCATTGCAATTCCGATGATGTGCAGGTGATGTGGGTTTAATGGATATGGGCATTTCACAGACATCGCGCACACTACGCATTACCGTGCTCGTGGTAATTATCCCTTTTTCTTTTTAAGCAGCACACAAAATAGTCACATAAAGTTCGTGTAAATGTCGAGCAGGAAAGTTAGGACTCTTCGCAAGAACCATGTCTTATCTGTTCCTGTTTTTTGAAAAGCCTCAGCTCCTCCCTGCTACGGGTAGCTATAGCACTTGCTGGGATGTGTCACCTTCTCCGGCTTCGTGAAAAATAAAAAAAGAGAATGAGCAGGCCATCGGGAATGACGGGTCTCAATAAAGTTTATAACTAGAGCTTGAAGGTTGCCACATGGCCACAAAGTAGAAGTAGTGAATTGTATTAAAGAATCAAGCCTTTCTATCCATTCATTAGTTGAAATAAAGTCACCGTTTACCATCTGCTTCATTATTCTTTTTCTCATCTGGCAACTAGGCTTTTCTTTAGTCACTTTGGTCGAAGTCTGTGAAGTGCCTTTATTGAGGCACTTCAGCTAAAACCTGAGGCTACCCCTAAATACTTGATATTGTCCAGGCAGTGTTGGCGACACAAGCAGCGAGCGGAGCTGTCAGGGGGACCCTGTGCCACAGGGGCTCTGCATGCTCCCGGTGTAAGCCCCCACTACCCACCCCAACAAAGAGCGCCCGGAGCTCACGGGAGCCTGAGCAATTACAGAATTAGGGTATGGTTTTTCCAGCAGCTATGGAGCCAGGACACGGCAGCAACAAATAGGGGGTGGCAGCTTAAGGGCTGAAGTTTTAGGGGTAAAGAGTTTGGATGTGCAGATTCTTGCTATGTCCTGGCTCCTCCCCACCATTTTGGGGTAGTTTCTGTATTAACCATTTGTTACTGGTTACGATAGCAAAGCACAAAGCAGTTCCCATCCCACACCTCTGGCAGAATACACTTGAGGCAACGCCACAGTTTATCGATTACTGCATGCCTTTTGGTGTAAGGGGAACGTAACTGTGTCTTATCAGGACAGAGCTGGTGACGACAGGCGTGCAATTGGTAACAAATGGTCCTGCCCCGCGGAGGGACCACACACAGTAACGATGAGATGGTCAAGTCTGAATGAGTGCCCGGACGAAGGGGACAACGAGAGGTGAATCTTGAGCACGACAGGGCAAACTCAACCTTCCCTTTTTTTATAGGCCGGAGAACGATATCCCTTCCCCTCTCCCACCCCTCTTCCTCCTTCATCAATGTCCTCTAGATGCGATTCTTCAAAACAGCTTTTGACAGAACAAGAGGAAAAGGTCACAGTAGTTAACATCCTCCTCAATATGATCCTGTTTGAAGCAATGCATTTTTAGAAATTCCAAGATTAAGTACTGCAACTTCAAATTCCCTAGCTTAAACTCCTGTGTCATGCCAAAACCAGCCATCCTACAACGGGCTTCTTGGCCATGCTTGGCTCAGTGAAGACCTGAAGGTTTGTGCTCAGAAGAAAACATTTAAAATATGTTTAAAACACATTGAAAATACTGTTTTACTGAATGTTATTGCTACGACCAAGAATAAGAAGCGTATCTGCAACAAAAGCCTGAAGACCTCTAAGGTCTTGATAAAGAAATGCTGAGATCCCAGAGGGTTCCTCTGAAGGTCAGCGTGACAGAAACAACCGGAGACAAAGGAAGGGAAGACAGCTTGCCTTGACATAGTGGCAAGGTCTGGAGAAAAACTCCAAGCCCATCTGCACAGTTCCCTGCTGCGGGTTGTATGCTTGCCTATTTAAAATTAAATGACATTTAGCTAAAATCTGTACGGAGTCCATTACAGCTTCCTCTTCCACAGGTGCCTGCAGCACTGGTGAAAGCAGGGGTTCTGCATGCCGGAGGCTTGCGCCTGCCGGGCTCCAGGTGCACCAGGTTCCCCTCTACAGCCTGCAAAAATCTCACTCTGAAGATTTGTATCTTGTTCCTCAAATTACCACATGACCACAGGTACAGCACGTTCCTAAAACAGTATACAGCGGACTGTCTTTCTAGGTATCCTTTATACAGAGCATTATGTTTTGGAGGGAGGAGGAAGGAGGAAGGAAGGAGAATCAGATCTCTCTTCAGTGTTAACAATAAGGAAATTTTTCCGAAGTTGCACGTATTTCAAGTTAGTGCCACAACACCAAAATGCACCCTTCTTGCAACTATGCTGAAATCCACAAACTACAAGGACTTACTACATACTTTGGAAAGTATGCTCATCCCATACAACACGTCTGTAGATGTGCTAGAGTCCACTGGTGACTGTACCAGACTACCCGGTAAGTTCAATTTTGCAACCATAAGGCCGGGGCAGTATTTGGCCCCCTCCCCCTGTCGATTACAGTAAAAAGAGCAATAGAAAATACATTAGTAGTAAAACAATGATGTTAAAAATACATACCAGTATATCCAGGCAGGCTGCTTTAAGTAGAGTTATCTGGTCTGCAATGGTCAAACTTGTAAAGCCTGGCAATCGCTTTGCAAATTCCACTATTTTAATAATGCACTTTGTTGCAAGTTCGCTGAATTTGTCCCAAAGTCCGAGGTCCAGTCGAACCCGATGATCTGCGCTGGAGTTCTGGAAAGACAGACAGAAGGCACCATAAATCAACAACGTCCCTTTCAGTAAATGGTTTTCAAGGGAAAGAAACAACAACCGAAAGTACTCCTTCCAGAAGTACTTTCTATTAACATTCCAGGCATTTTCTGCAGCTTGCTGTTGGGATGATGCTGGTTTTAAACTTGGATTAATCGCCTGAAAATTCCTTGGATATTTCTCCGTTACTTACGATTGTAGAGGCCATCTGTACAAGGAATACAAATGAACTTAAACATTTCCAAATGCCACTATCATCATTCTTCCTTGCCATTATATAATAAGTGCATTGAGAGAGACAATTTACAGTTGTACCCCAGAAAACATAAATGAACAGTGGAACAAGAATATCAGGTCCTCATCTGGAAAAAGCAGCACAATATTTGGAACATAGTTTCACATATTTAAGGTCTTAGCAAATTCGTTCTGCTTAATTTATCTGCTCTGTGGCTCTGCAAGAGTTTTACAGCTTTCTCAAGCTACAGTCTCCCATGAATTAAAGAGCATTTCTTTAAACAATGTTAGGAAAAACGTCATGTGCGCTGATGAATGCTATATGCTCATTTGACGGCGCATCCAACATATACCCTACTGTTTGAAGCGTTACAAGGACATTCCAGCTGCATCTTTCAGAGACTGTTTCCATATATTCATGTATCTTAATCTAAAAGTCCGTAATTTGCTAGGATGCGTAGCAAATCTGTTAAGTTTGTGATTAAACTCATGTTTCCATACATTCAGAGTAACCACTTAACCCTTGAAAAAGTTAAACATGTCAGCCAAGAACCGGCCGACTCAAGAGTTACTGTGATCTATTTGGCGCTAGTCCAACAAAAGATGGGGGCATGGGGTGACCTGGTGAGTCATTCCCAACCCGTCCGTGATTCCCATGGGGTGACAAGAAACAGGTAACGACGGAGCTCTGAGATACCCGAGGCCCCTCTCCTCCTTCCCCAGCGTGCAGCATGTTCCCATTTTGCCAGCATTTGATCCAATGCTGTTTGGGAAGCGACCAGCGCAATGGTCCCTCCCGCTATTTCATGAGCCACCAAATTTAGTGCGTGTTGCAGCTGCCTTCAGCGTCTTGGCGATCTCCTCTTCATTGCAAGAGGAATTTTACCTGTAAAAATATGCTGGTTTTGAATTTGCAAAAGGTGCTGAGCTGCAACCAGGGAAAACCAAAGGCAGAGTTTCTCTCTTCCGCGTCTCATCTGAGCTTGTTGACTAACCAAGAAAGAGAGAGGCATCTCCAAAAAAAGGCCCACCCACTCCAGATAGGTACTTAAGGCAGGTAAGGGAAAATCCCCTCAGGTGGCGGCTTTCTCCCCCACTGCCTTAGTCTTAGCTGGTTGAAGTTAAAATGTTAAATTAACTTTAATTTTAAAGTTAAATGAGAGGAGTCTCAACCTAAAAGTCTAACAGACATGGCAGAAAAATAGCCATTGAAAAGCATTCAATTTACGCAGATCACACTTTCTTGGAGGAAACATCTCTAGTGACCCTGCCACCATCACTGCTGATGGTGAGGACGTCCACCTCCTTGGAAACCTTTGAAGCCATCAGCTTTCTTTGGTTCACGGGAAGGACACAGGGCCTGAAGAGGCCGACGAGGGGACGTGGGGTGAGCTCAGCTTGGCTGTGATGCTCTGTCACTCCCTCCCGGGGCTGCTTTTGCAGACGCCACGACCACCGTCAGTCATGAAGGGGAAAGCCCTGACAGGTCCTAAGCGTGCCGCCAGCCCAACATTCACCCTCACTTGCAACAGGGTGGAGACTCGAGCCGGTAATATTTCTATTAGGCCCTTATTACACAAAGTAAATGCTAACCATGCCGAACAGTTTGAAGGTGCATACGTGCTCTTCCCTGCTCCCCCTCTTTTTAAGGGATAAGAAATTAACTTCATAATTTCTATTTTAATTTTTATTCTGGGAACTTCTTCTATTTTGTTTTGTTTTTTTAAATGACAGAAGAGAAGATAGGAGAAAATGTCTTTATAATCCTAAACCTAGAGAATTGCCTTCAAAATGGTCCAAAACTGATGGGTTAACAGTCATTGTAATGCCCTTTGAAACATTTCTTTCGGCTACTGGAGTATGCATCCTTCAGATTTATTTTATTTCATCCTCAAGGACCTTGGTGAAATACAGTACATTGGAGAAAAAATAAGATCAAGATGTGCAGTCATTCAGGCTGTAATTAAATTTAATAGGCAGTTTATCCAGTTCATAGAAAGATGGCATAGCGGAGAGCTACACAAAGCAGAGCCTAAAGCAGGAAATCATTTTACAATAGGGTATCCATCTGGAAAAAAAGACGTTGCATGAAACCAGCAAGTGTGAACGAAATCTTCATCAGTATCATATGAGGTTACTTTATCATGCTGCAGTACCGGCAACGGGAAGTTTGACATGTCTTCTATTAAGAGTAATGCATGGCCGTCTTAACAAATGTAAATCTAACTCACTATTATGCAAACTGAAGAGAAGGGGCAGTCAATAAAATACAAAATAACCGGGTGTTTTATTATGCCGGGTGCCAGGTTCCTCAGCATTGGAGCTAATGTGGTTTACACATTATCTTTGAGACGCTACAAATGGAAAGACTTTTAACATTTTATTTGGTAATGAATGTAGTTGCAAGCGTCATGGAAAATAGCTAGATTTTTAGCGGCACTTCTAAATATGGAAAACCAAAACTGACTCAATATCAATGTATAGGCCGAACAGTAGAATACGGGGTTAATAAAATGCACGTTAGAAACAAACTCTGATTAAATTTGCCTGGGGATCTCCTCTAACCATGCTGTGAAAAAGATGCAGACGCTATGACTTTTCCTGAATATTTTACTGAAGCAGTTTTTTGGGTGTCTTTTCCAGGAGCAGCCTTGCATGTTTTTCAGGCCTTTGCACCAGCGCACATATGGTGGAACAATACTGTAATACACCCTAGTGGCATCTTTATCAGTGGAAAAGCCCAACCTTGCTATGAAATCCAATTAAACAGCCATTTTTGCCACATAAATTGATCCCATTTTTTCCATCATTTTTGTTTTTCCACTGCAGGCTGCTCTATCTCCACATTAACGATACAGGATGAGGTACTCGCAGAAACATACACAGTAGCAGAATCCCTACCGTCTTTAAAATCCACTTTACAAAGGAAACAAGGCTCACAGGGGCACTCTGCCCTAATCAGGAACACTTGCTATGCCTCTTTAGTAAAAGCAGCAATGCACTCCGGCTCCGGTGAGCTCACCGAGGACCAGAGCACACGTCTCTGCTCAGTCCCAGCATCAGGAGATAGAGATATATATCTATCTATCTCTACATATTCCTCTGCAATGGCACAGAACAATAGCCGTGTAACTTCTAAGCCCAGCACTTACAAAGGCCAAAATGCTGCCGAGATGCAAAACCTCTTCACTTCCAGCCAGCCAAGAACGCGCAGCAAGGGTCCGCAGAGTCAAAATTATTTTCTGTTTTATCCTCCCTTTATCACGAGGCTGGATGTAACACAGCTGTAGACTTACAAATAATACCAGTCTCAAGGGACAAGCAGTATAGTTACACTCAATTATACTATAAAGTATGACATCTCCAGAGAAATTACTAAGGCACTCTCTCTTACCTGGATGACAGTAATAAAACAGATCTATTTATGATGGACTTTTGAAATCCATTACGTTTAAACAGCTTGCTGATTCTCATCATCGGCAGAACTATACTTGCCACTGCCCACCAAATGCAACTGTTAAGTCAAATGACCCAGGGAATTTAATATGAGTGCTATTCTCCCGTTATTTTAAGTAGACTTTTATTAACTATGCAAAGTACAGTAATTATTACAGATAGGGACACTTTTTCTTTTTAAAGAGCAGATGGATATAAAAAAAACATAATTGAAAATGCTTCTCCAAAACTGTTTTTGAACAGGTAAAAATACCCAATGGGGGAAAAAAATCACCATGTAACCTTTCCCTCTGGGAAATGCAGGCTGCAGTGCTCAAGAGCAAGAGGAGCCAGATACGCAAGCCAAATGTCTGAACAGATTTTTTTATGATGGTATCTCTGCAAGGTCTTTTTTACCCCGCTCTCTTATACTTAAAATTCTTTGCTCTTTTTAGCATCAAACAAAATCATGTTTTAAATCAGTCTGAACGATCACGTAACCAAAGGTGCACAGAGGCCACGCTTGCAGAACAGTTTCTTCCATCCACCATTTCTATCAGTACGCAAGTGCAAAGCTCATGAAATTCAAGTGAATCCACATCGATTCAATACACTCACTTCTCACCTCTCGCTTGAAGAATTAAATAAAAAACTTTAAGGTTACAAAAGCAATCTGTATGCTCCGCAGCGTGAGCGCGCCATGCTTCATGACTGCTAGCCTGTAGAACCAGGCATGAAAGCAGAACTGGTGGCAGTCTTCTACCCGTACTAACTTGTTACTGTCAAGAAAAGTAGAGTGGCGTAGGCTTCTACCTCCCCTTGGACTCAGCATTTAGAAAAAGGGCTGTGTGCTCCTTTTTTTTGGACTTCTGGTCTCTATTTCAAGTGTCTCAAAAGGAAAGATTACTGCCTGAGCCCTGCCGTTTGATCAGCAGCTGGTGGTAGTGTCCAAGCACCGAAGCTGTGCTCCTCCAACCAGCACACACACCTTCCGCCTCCTGGATTCTTCTGGATTCTCCGCTGCTGCAGAAAGGCTTCTCCCCAGCTCCTGGGCTGACGGGCAGCTGGAGATGAAGATGACCCATACTCCAGCCCCAGCAGTACTGAGGAATATTTTAATCCCCGAGGTTTTCACCAGGTGCAAGCAATGGGGGGAGGCCGTACTCTGTCCCTTCCAAAGCCGGGCAGAGACAGCATTCACAAAAATGAGATCTTATACTGAATTCCTACCTAAAAAGCTGGAGTGGTCACCAGACCTTAGCTAGATGAGAGATTTAAATATTCCGCATTTCACACAGAGACTATGGGAATGCAGCAAGAAGACAGTTACTATTTAGCACTGCTGCTATTAGTATTGACACAGCTGTTGAAGGAAGCTGTATCACTCTCAAAGATTCAAGGTAAGCCAAAAATAACTCTTTCAGTATAATTTTGTTATTGCAACTTGTGTAGTACCAAACCATGACAAAGCGGCAGGGACTTCAGCCACGTGCAGCTAACCGCTGTGGAGTTCCAACAGACCAACAATAAAAACAAGAAATCTCTTTCCCCAAGCTGTCCGATCTGGCCCGAGATACAAATGACCAATATCCAGCCTCAGAGAGAGTGTGGTCAGGTCATGGTTACTCGGGACCCATAGACAGACCAGATTCATCTGTTCATTACTTAGATCCAGGTGCTCTCAGTAAGGGCTCTGAAATTCCAACAGGGACACAAACTCACCATGG